AGGGGTATTGAGGTAGATTTTAATAAAATTGAAAATTTAGTAGCTCTGTACACACAAAAAAATATTAGAAGCTTTTTGGGGTGTTTGAATTATATTTCTCACTTTATATCCTAGCTCATTTTAAAGTGTGATCCAATCTTTACTTGTTGCATAAGAATAATCCTAGTAGTTGGGATAAAGAATGTCATAGTGCTTTTGAAAAGATTAAGGAGTATTTGATAAACCAACAATGTTAGTACCACCTACTGTAAGAAGGCCATTAATTTTGTATTTAACAGTGCAAGAGAATTCGATGGGGTGTGTGTTGGGCAAAGAGATAAAACTTGTAGGAAAGAACAAGCTATTTATTACCTGAGTAAGAAGTTTACAAAGTATAAAACTAAATCCTTCTAGTTAGAAAAAATGTGTTGCGCGTTAGTATGGATTACTTGTAAGCTTAGGCAATGTGCTTTATCATACAACTTAGTTTATATCAAAGTTAGATCCTTTCAGATATATGTTTGAAAAGCCATCCTTTTCAAATAAAATAGTTGGATGGCAAGTTATGTTGTCAAAGTATGATATTGTGTATGTGTCATAAAAATCTATAAAAGGAGGTGCAATAGCTAATTTTCTTGCCAATAAAGCCATAAAAGATTATGAGCCCATGAAGTTTGACTTTTTGTATGAAGATTTAATGGCAATCTTAAAGGATAAAGAGGGTGAGCTTGTGAAAAAGTTATGGAAGATGTTTTTCGATAGGGCATCCAATACACAACACTGTAAATGGGTGAATTATTATCCTAGTACTGTAAGGTTGGATTTTAATTACACAAATAATGTAGCTGAATATGAAACATGTGCCGTGGGATTACAAATGGCCATTGAAAATAAGATTGATGTATTATAAGTATTTAGGAACTCAGCCATAGTAATCAACCAATTGAAAGGTGAATGAGAGACTAAGGACCCAAAATTTGTTTTATACCAAAAGCATATAGTTGATTTGATTAAGTAGTTCAGAGAGATCTAGTTTTAACATGTTCATCGAGAAAAGAATCAAATTGCTGATGCATTGGCTACTTTAGTTGCAATGTTCAAGTTAAATGCCAATAAGGGAACCCAACCCATTAGAGTATAGATGCAGGATTTACCAGCCTATTATTCAAATATGAAAGAAAAAATAGATTACTGGCCCTGGTATCATGACATTGTACAGTACATTAAGTGTCAAGAATATCCTAAGTAGGCTTTGAAGAAAGATAAGAGGATTATTCAAAGATTAGCAACACAATTTTATGCTCAATGGGAAAATTTGGTAAAAAAAAAGTTAAGATCAAATATTGTTAAGATGTGTAGATGTTGTAAAGCAATAAAGATATTAGAAGAAGTCTATGAGGGGATTTATGGGACATATGCCAATGGATATATGATGGCCAAATAGGTAATGAGGGTAGGTTATTACTGGTCTATATTAGAAAATGATTGCATCAATTATGCTAGAAAGTACCATAAATGGCAAATTTACACGGATAAAGTTCATTCCCCTCTAGTCCCATTGCATGTGTTGGCACCTCCATGGCCATTTTCTATGTAAGAATAAATGTGATTGGGCTTATAACTCTAAAAGCTTTAAATGGGCATTGATTCATCTTCATGGTAATTGATTACTTCACTAAATGGGTGAAAGTAGCCTTTTATGCTAGTGTGTCCAAGTCAGTGGTATGCAAGTTTATAAAAAAAGAGATAATATATCGGTATAAGCTTTCAAAAAGAATTATTTCTAACAATGCTAGTAGCATGAATAGCAAAATGATGAAAGAGATATGTGTACAATTCAAAATAATGCATTATCATTCAGTGCCATATCATCCAAAAATGAATGGTGCGGTAGAGTTTGCAAACAAAAACATAAAGAGGATACTAAGAAAGATGACTAACACATATAGGGACTGGCATGAGAAATTACCCTTTGCCTTGCTTGCCTATAGGACATCAATCCAGACTTCAACAAGGGCTACCCCATTTTTCTTAGTATACAAGATAGAGGCAGTGTTATCGATTGAGGTGGAAATTCCTTCTTTAAGAGTATTGATGGAAGTGAAGTTGGATAAGGTAGATTGGATTTGAGAACATTTTGAACAATTAAATTTTATAAAAGAGAAGAGTCTTTCGAAACTCTGTCATGGGTAGTTGTACCAAAAGAAAATGATGTAGGCATGTGACAAAAAGTTGTGACCCTGATGTTTTCATGAAGGAGAAATGTCTTAAAAAAGATCTTGCCAAATCAACAAGATAGTAGGGGAAAGTGGGCACCAAATTGGGAAGGCCAATATGTGGTGAAGAAAGCATTTTTTGGTGGAGCCCTGATCTTAGCATAAATGGATGGGGATGAATTGCCAGTTCTAGTGAATTCTGATACTGTAAAGAAATATTTTGCTTAAAAAATAAAAAAAAGGCATAAAAATAGAAAAGAAAAAAATAGGCATAAAAAATAGAAAAGAAAAAAAAGAGGATTCGAGCTAAAAACTTGAAAAGGGTAGTTTGGACCAAAAGGGGGTCATTCAAGCTGAAAACCTAAAAAGGGGTTTAAATGAAGGAAGAGTTAATAGGAAACTTTGCAAAGGCAAAGCAAAATGGCATGAAGTTGGACTGATTAGAGATGAAGAAAAGTTTGGGCCAAGTTTTTGTCAGCTACAAGTTGTGAGGTAATGATTAGTTATAAGAATTCAAATCTAGCAAGACTTGTGTAATAAGTTTTTAAGAAAAGACCTAGTCTGAATTGACTTGGCTTGTCAAATGTTCATTACCTAAAGAAATGATATTTGATTTCTTTGAATACCTTTTTTAAGTTTTTCGATGTATTTCAATAACCTTATCTTTTCCTTTCCAAACCAAAATAAATTTCTCATCCTGATTAAATCCATATTCCACTTTGAACTTTGAAATCATTGTATTTGTCACTAGAGGTTGCGATAATTATTGATAATGCTCATAGTAGACCTGTGTATTACTCAGAAAAAAAAAAGATGAACAGAAGAAAATAGTGCAAAAAAGTAAAGAATTAATTGATTAGAGGGATGGATGACCAAAAAAAGAATTTGGAGAAAATTCTTAGATAAGTAGAGGTCACAAAAGGCATTTGTAAAAAATAAATCCATCAAAAAAGAAAAGAATGAAATAATATGGAAGATATTAGGATAGCCTTTAAAGTTTTGAAAAAGCTAAGCTAATATTGAACTTAGAATTAATATAATCAAGAAATGAATGATATAAATCATTGATTACATTTTTACCATTCAAATTCATTATACTAGTCACATGTATTACATATATTCTTTGGATAAATGATGTAGAAGGTTCTCACGAGAGGATGTTAATTGGAATTAGAATGTTTTTCACAAACAAGGTTTCCTTGGCATTAAGAAGAAATTTTATCCCTGGTTGATCATCTTTTATTTATGACTTAAGGTGTTGTCCCAATCACTCGCTATTTCTCGCTTGTGGTGTTGTCCTAGTTGTCCTTTATTTTTGACTTGCGGTATTGTCCTGGTCATTCATTATTTCTAACTTGCAGTATTGTCTTGGTTATCTTTTATTATTTAACTTACTATGTTATCCCAATCGTTTGTTATTTTAGACTTGTAATGTTGTCTCGATCGTCCTTTTTTCTAACTTACGGTGTTGTCTCGATCGTCTTTTATTTTTAACTTATGGTGTTGTCCTAGTCATCATTTATTTCTGACTTACAGTGTTGTCCTAATCATCTTTTATTTTTGACCTACTGTGTTATCGTGGTCATTTGTTATTTTTTACTTATGGTGTTGTCTCGTTTGTCCTTTATTTCTGACTTGGGAATTATGCCGGTTGTCTTTTATTTTTGACTTACGGTATTGTCTCGATCATGCTTTATTTCTGACCTACGGTGTTGTGCTAGTAGTTTGTTATTTTTGATATGTGGTGTTGTCCCGATCATCTTTTATTGTTTTTTTTATGTTGTCTCCATCGTTCATTATTTCTGACCTGCGATGTTGTCATGGTCATCCTTTATTTATGACTCGTGGTGTTGTCTCGATTATTCTTTATTTCTGATTTTGGTGTTGTCCAAATCATTATTTATTTTTGACATGTGGTATTGGCCTAGTTGTTCATTATTTCTGACTTACAATGTTGTCCTAGTCGTTCTTTATTTTTGACTTACGGTGTTGTATTGGCCGTTCATTATTTCTAACTTACAATGTTGTCTCGATCATCTTTTATTTTTGACTAGCGGTGTTGTCTTGGTTGGTCATCCTTTATTTTTGACTTACGATGTTATCCTAGTCATCCTTTATTTATGATTCAAAAAACAAAAAAACAAAAACAAAAATAACAAAAAACAAGCAAACAAGACAAAACAAAACCAAAAACAAAAACAAAAACAAAGGAAAAAACAAAACAAAACATTCTCCTTGAGAAATAACATCCGAACAAAATTATTGTCTATGTCTTTGTATTATTTTTTATCCTAAAAAATATATAAAGAGGAATAATTGTAGACAATTTTATCCAAGATACTTTATTTGAGCTTTTTTTTTTGCCATTAGATCTGACTTTTATTTTTCAAACGTAATAGACAACCCACTTTCAAATTGCTCCGTAATGCTCAAAATGACTTGATAACAAACCTAATAAAGAGTTATTCTTAAAAGACCCATTGTTGACTACTAAATACAAAAATTTATATAAAATAAAATAAATAATAATAACAATATCTAAAATTTTAAAAATTAAAATTAAATTAAAAATATTTATTAAAAATTAAAAAAATTAAAACTAATAAAATTAAATTAAATAAATACAAAACCGAAAAAAGTGGCTTGGCCTAATCAATTAAAGCCCAAGGAAGATAAGCAGAAAAGATAAATATCGTGAAGAATGGAAACAAAGGGACAAGCCCATTTGGCTTAATATATGAAAAAGCAAAATGCATGGGACCACCTGAGGTTTAAAATCTCTTCACATGGTCTACCACACGTGGGATGGTGAAGCCAAGAAAAACCACTTGCCATTCACGGTTGGAGCATGGAACGTTCATGCAGAAACGGGGAAAATGGGTGAGCGTGGAACGAGCCAGTTACAAAGGGAGAAGACGTGGGAGTTGGCTGCATGAAAGGCACACTCAGCAGAAGGGAAAAAAAAAACGAAGAAAAAGAGGAAGCAGCAACCGGAAAGAAGGAGAGAGGCAGAACTAAAAAGGAAGAGAGGGGCAAGAGGCAGAACAGGGGGGAGGAGAGCTAACAAAAAAATAGAGAAAAGAAAGAAAGGCTGGAAAGTGCAGCAAAAGACGAACCAGAAAGGGGCTGGCCAGAACCAAAACAAAACTGGAAACGGGAGCAAAAGAAGAGAGGGCATGCAGAAGTGGGCTTTCTAGCGTGGAACAGGAGCAGTGGCGATTCAGCAGAAAAGAAAAGCTAGGTGCAGAAGCGACGTACATGCGCTGGAAGCCAGTGGGGAGAAGCGCAGGGGAAGCTGAAAATAGAACAAACAAAAACTGGGGTGAAAAAACGAAAAAAAACAGCAAAAGGAAAACACGCGGAGAAGAGGAGAATAGGCGTGAACTGGAAGTGAAATCAGAAAACAAAGGAGAAACAGAAGACGCACGCAGCCGGTAGGAAACGCAGCAGTAAAGGACACATACCAGGAACCAAAAAAATTCAGAAAACAGGAAAAAAACAGAAGGGTCTTTGAGCAGCAACGTGCAGCAGGAAAATTGAAAGCCTTGCAAAAGTAAAAGGTATCCCTTCTTGGTCCATTTTCGGCCGGTTGTTTGCATAGGATTGATGCTAGCCTTAGCAACCTTTTATTGTTTGTTGAAGCTTACTACATTTGGTCTGTTGGTGGTAGGCGCAATAGTGAAAAAGTTTTAAAATATGCATTAGCTTTAAAATATAAAGAATAAAGGCTGAAATTATAGTGATCTTAATAAAGTTTAATTTCATGTTTGTTTCATATCCTTCGAAGTTTATGCATAGTTTTTTTTTTCTTTTTCTTAAAGTTTAATTGCAATTTAAATTTTATACCTTTTTAATTTTTTTGATGATTAAACTTCTATGCTCATTTTAACTTTTATGTAACTTTTATGTTTTAATTTACTTTTGATACAATTTAATTTATTTTTTGCACGTTTTAAATTTATGCAAAATAAAATAAAAAGGATGAAGTAATAATATTAAAAAGATTTTAAAATCTCTGTCTAGATGTTGAAGGAAATTTAAAAACATATTTTAAAAATAATAGTTCCACCTAGATGTAGGGAAATTATTAAATAATAAAATAATAAAAGATTAATAAATCATAATAATAATAAAATTTTTAATGAAAAGGAAAAAAAGTAAAAAATATAAAAATTTATTTTTTAGATTAATTATAAACAGTGAGCTTATCCTAAAAGTTTGTTCAGATGTTAAAATTTTTTTAAAAAACTCATAAACTTTTTAAACCCTAAAATAAATCCTAAATGAAACCCTAATACAAAACCCTAAAACTAAACCCTAGGTAAAATCCAAATCTTAAAATTGAAATCCTAAAGTTGAAATCCTAAATGAAACCCTAAAACTAAAACCTTAATTGAAACCTAAAACCATAAATCCTTGGTAGAACTTGAATCTTAAGGCCTTAGTGGAACCTTAAAATTATGCTTTGCTATCATAAACTTACCTAAAACACTAAATTCGTTTTAAATTTTTAAAGGTTCGCATGAAAAACTTTTATGAAATAATATGTTCTTAAATGTCACCTAAATGATAAGGTATTTAGAAAGTTTTATTTCATTAAAAATTTTCAATTCAAAATAAATTCATTTTGTTAAAATAAAAAATATAAAAATATAAAATAATAAAAAATTATAGAATGGGATTTTAAATATAAATAGTCACACCCAAACTCTACTTAGAGGTTGGAGAGTTAAAATGGTCTCTTTATATTTGAAAATTCGATTCAAAAATTCACTTTTTATCATCATTTGGATATGTCTCATTTTTTAGATTAATGAGTTCATTTGTAATGCATATATATATTTGTTCTAATTATTGATGTTCAATATTAACTATATTACTTTTCATTTTTTTACTGCTTAAAAAGTTCTTAAAAATTTAATTTTAAGTAAATAAAATTGAAATAGTATTCCATGAAATATAATTATTGATACTCTGCCTAGATATTGAATAATCATCAATGATTATCATTTACAAAAAATGTTATTTTATTTTTTTGAAGGAATGTTACAATAAATCTTAGATGGAAAGACTATCTTTAAATTTTGCATTTATATCAAAAAATTTGAAGGTATTTCTTTAATTTGAAGATTTTTATAATATTCCTAAATAATGATTTTTTAAAACTAATTTTCTTTCTTAAAAACAAAGGGAATTATAATTAAATTTCATATAAAAAACTATTTTTTATCCAAAAATTATAAATAGCGCATAATTAATTGGTACCAATTTTGTAGGCATTGTAGGAGTGCTAATCCCCCCACACGTAACTGACTCTCGAGCCTGATCTTATTTTCGTAGATCAAAATTATCTTTTTAATAAACTTTGAACCTGTTTTATTGTTTTATTAAAAAGAAAATTTTTTTGGGTGGCCAATCATACCCTTAAAAAGATTGGTTGCGACTCCTTGTGTTTTTACGATTTTAAACATTTTACGTCTAGCGATCGACTTTCCAAAATGATCCGTTATGACAACTTTGTTCCCTTCAGCCTAAACCATTGCTAACAAAATTCCTAATTTGTTTGGTTTTCTGGCCTTTTCATTTTCAACCTTCTTTGTGTTCATTTCAATCCATAACAATTTCAGTCATCTAGATATAAAGTTAAAAGGCATAATTTTAGTACTTGATTTGGCACCATCATGTAGTCCTAAAGGGAAAAACAAACCCTACTCCCACTTTTATTACTTGGATGCAAATTGTACACTTGTAGCATCACAAAAAAAAACAATCAACGCTTTAGCCATGTTGTCAGCAATGTTCAAATTGAATCCAAATGCCAAAGTTCAACTTATCAGGAAATGGACTCTTGAATTTCCAGCGCATTGTACAAGTATAAAAGAAAAGGCTAATGGTTAACCCTAGAATCACGGTATCATGCAATACTTAAAGCATAAGAAATATCTTAAGCATGCATCAGAAAGTAATAAGAAAATTTTAAAGAGACTGGCAATAAGGTTTGTTCTAGATGGGGTAATTTTAAAAAAGAAAAGTTGGCATTAAATATTGCTGAGATGTGTAGATACTGCAAAAATAAAAAAAATACTTGAAGAAGTGTATGAAAGGATATGTGGGATGCATGCCAATGATCACATGATGGCAAAACAAGTAATGAGGGTAGGATACTATTGGTTAACATTAGAGAGTGATTGTATCAACTATGCAAAGAGATGTCATAAATGTCAAATTTACATAGATAAAATACATGCTACTCTAGTACCATTGCATCTTAGCACCTTCATAACGTTTTTCTATGTGTGAAATGGATGTGGTTGAGCTCATTACTTTGAAAACATCAAATGGGCATAGATTTATTTTTGTGGTAATTGATTATTTTATGAAATAGGTAGAAGCTATCTCTTATGCTAGCATAACCCGATCAATGGCATGTAGATTCATAAAGTAGGAAATAATTTGTTGGTAAGAACTACCCGGGAGGAACATCACTAATAATGCTAGCAATCTGAACAATAAAATGATGAAAGAAGTTTGCATTCAATTCAAAATAAGCCACCATAACTTAGGACCCTATCGTCCTAAGATGAATAGGCCAGTAAAGGCCGCCAACAAAAACATAAAAATGATACTAGAGAAAATGATTGATTCTTATAAAAATTGGCATGAAAAAGTTTCATTTACTTTATATAGAACATCAATTTGTACTTTTACTGGGGCAATTTTTTTTCTCTAGTATATAGAGTGGAAGCGATTCTGCAAATTGAAGTAAAAATTCCTTCTTTAAGGGTTTTAATGGAAGTACAATTAAAAGAAGTAGAATGGGTATACAATTGCTATGAATAGTTAAATTTGATTGAAGAAACAAAGCTTGCAGCATTCATTTATGGTCAAATATATTAAAAAAGAATAATAAAGGCACATGATAAGAGTATAAAACCTAAAGGCTTTTATGAAGAAGAGTTAGTTCTAAAAAAGATATTGCCCAATTAGCATAACAATAGAGAAAAATGAACACCTAATTGGGAAGGTCTATATATGGTCAAGAAAGCATTTTCTGGTAGAGCACTAATTATTGCAGAAATTGATGGAGATAAATTGTCAAACCCTATAAACTTAGATGCTATCAAGAAATACTTTGCTTAAAATAAAAGAAAAAAAGAAAAAAAAGATTACGGATGAAATGGTGAATAAAAGGATGGACATTGATGATGAAATGATTAGTAAATGGAAAATGATGAAGAAAGAATAAATGAAGATAATTGATGGAATGACAACGTTGAAAGAAAAAGAGCGAAAGCGTTTTTGGAAAAAAAATCAACAGAGAGTTGTTAAAGTGATTAAAACAAAAAAATTGGCAAAGAAAAAAGAAAAGAAAAGCTTGAATTGAAGAAAAATTTTGATCAAATAAGTATGATTTAACTAATGATGATTTGTCTAGAACCAATAATTTAAAGGCATTTGTAAACCTTGTTATCACAAGGACATGATGTTAACAAAATTATTTGAATCACGTGCATTGTGTCTCTTGCATTCATTACATTCATTGCATGAATAATAAAGTTAATTTTGGAAAAATGAAAACACCATAAAAAAATGAACACCTTTCAAGAAAAATCCAAAGAGAAGAAACATTTTCTTTTAAAAAGAAACCTTATTAAAGGCCCCAGATAAACCAAACTTCCTTTTTTCCAATTGAGATTTTTAAAATTCCCTAGCCTATTTTTATAGGAGCCTTTTTTAACTATGATTTTAAAATTTCTTAGCCTATATTTATAAAAGCCTTTCAAAATGAGATTTTTTTAAAAGTTTCTCATCCTATTTTTATAAGAGCCTTTTCTAACTAAGATTTTTAAAGTTTCTTAACCTGTCTTGATAAGAGCTTTTCAAAATGAGATTTTTAAAGTTTCTTAGCCTATTTTTATAAGATCTCTTTTCAAAAATGTGATTTTTAAAGTTTCTTAATCTATCTTTATAGAAGCCCTTTCAAAATGACATGTTTAAAATTTCTTACGGTATCTTAATAGAAGAAGCCTTTTTAAAATGAGATGTTTAAAGTTTCTTTGCTTATTTTTATAGGAGTTTCTTAGCTTATTTTTATAGAAGTCTTTCAAAATGAGATTTTTAAAGTTCTTTAGCCTATCTTTATAGGAGCCCTTTTCAAAATACGATGTTTAAAGTTTCTTAGCTTATTAAAGGAACCTTTTCAAAATGAGATGTTTAAAGTTTCTTAACCTATCTTTCTAAAAGCCTTCTCAAAATGAGATTCTTAAAGTTTCTTAGCCTATCTTTATAGGAGTCTTTTCAAAATTTGAGATTTTAAAGTTTTTTAGCCTTTCTTTAAAAGAGCTTTTCAAAATTGAGATTTTTAAAGCTTCATAGCCTCTGTTGATATAGATAAACTAAAAGTATACAAGCTGGACAAGTAGTAAAAGTGACCTTTT